GCAAACTACAGAGTTCCAGGATGCCCCCAGTTGCAGAGAATGGTAAACCACTTCTATCGTGTTTCCCCCAAAACAAGACAGGGTTTTATATTAAGTTTTGCTCCAAAAAACACATTAGGGCTTATTTTCAGGGGATGTTTTATTTTTTTCATGTGCAACAATCTACATTTATTCAAATATAGTCATGTCATCTTCTGGTTGCTGCACAATGGTGGAGGGTGGGGTTTCACTTAACTGGGGCTTATTTTGGGGGTAGGGCTTATACTACGAGCATCCTGGAAAAACATACTAGGGCTTATTTTCAGGTTACATCTTATTTTCGGGGAAACAGGTAACTAACTATACCTAGGAAACTTTGGAAAGGGTCACCGTAATTCAGAATTGACTTAAGGGCAGGGTAGATTAAAAAAAATCAATGACTTTTTAAAATTCAATTGATTTAAATCACTATTTTTTTAAAAAAATTACAGATTTTTAAATTTTAAATTGTCAAAAATTCTGATTTAATTATTTAAATTGTGATTGTAATCAATTTGATTTAAATCAAATCCACCCTGCTTGAGGGTGTGCAATTCGTATTCTTCTTCTTCTTTTGGTAGTGGAGGCCAAAATGCTTGCCTCTTTACTGTTTTTTGCTGAAGGAACAAAACTGTGTCAGGTTGGTGATGATCTTAAGAGACAGAAAGACAGTGCCTGGAGTAGCTCTGGATGTCACCATTGCCAGCACGCAGACACCGAAAAATTATTTCCAATAAAAGCTGATAAACAGTAATTTACTGTAAACAATGAGAACAGAGGGATATTCCTTGTAGGTGGAACTACCAGGGAAAATATACCATGCGTGGCTGGAAGGCAGGGTAGATGTGATTTAAAACAAATTGATTTAAATCAATATTTAAATTTTTAATAAAAATTTAATAAAATTGATTTATATCAATATTTAAATTTTAAAAATAGGATTTTTGTCAATTTAAATTTTAAAAATCAAGATTAAATTAAATAAAAAAATTAAATCAATTTGATTTTTTTAATCGATTTTTATCCATCCTGCTGGAAGGTACTTGAAAATGTGACCCAGCGATTGTTATACTTATTGCCATTGAAGCATGAGGGTATGGATATGGAAAAAGGACTCAACGGCCAACAGAGGGCAGAATCTCTATGCAGAAGAAAACTGGCATGAATTTTAACGCAGCTGCCGAGATTCTGCAATTTGATGAACAAGCTGCTTGCTATATAAATGTTACCCCCGTGATATTTAGGGATAATCACATTTTCTCTCTTCAGCAACAGCTGAAGCAGCAGGTAGCTTATTCCCCCAGGATAAGCTTATTCCCCCAGGAATGTCCATATACCCCTTCGCCTGCTCTGTAAATAACACTGGGTCCAAATGTGCATGCCCTGTCCGCTCTTACATGCATCTGAATGGCAAAGAAGCAGCAGGGGTTTCTCTTACCTCTTCTGAGGATCAAACTATGTAGTATGAAATATACAGTATGTTAAACACATATGTAACTTAAAATCCTTTTTTTTTTCATTCTGAATGGTAAGTATGCTCACTGCTGACCTGACCAAGAATATCCCCCCCACATCCCATTTTACTGTAGTTTTTATTTAAAAAATTGTGGAGATGCCACAGGAGTCAGATTTCGTTAGCAAAACTAGAGATTCTCCCTCATTTTAACTCTTAGGCTAGGTCTCCAATTTTATTAATAAAGGCCCAAAGAGGGAACTAAGCACTAGATTGGTGCAGAACATGTTTACCATAAAGTTAAGGAGAAAATGAACTGATAATAATAAGCATTTAATTTGACTTTTACTGTCTCCATATTTCAGCACAACTGAGAGAAATTCCTGCCTCTCCCACAAGGTTCCCCCACTGTAGAGAAGGAAGAAGGTACCCCGTTTCCCCGAAATTAAGACAGGGTCTTATATTATTTTTTGCTCCAAAAACCACATTAAGGCTTATTTTCAGGAGATTTTTTTTCATGTACAACCATCTACATTCATTCAAACGAAGTCATGTCTTCTTCTGGTTGCTGCACAAGGGTGGAGGGCGGGGTTTCACTTAACTGGGGCTTATTTTTGGGTTGGGCTTATATTACGAGCATCCTGAAAAATCTAGGGTTTATCTTCAGGTTAGGTCTTATTTTGGGGGAAACAGTGTACGCTGGCAGGGGACACAAACAGATGTAAGCCACTCAGTTTATGGATTCCTCTCTCCATGTTAACCTCTGTGGTAAAATAATTCAGTTTAGCATTTTTTTAAAATTCCAATAAGGCCTGTGAGAACAGGACATGTGAGGAAGGGGAGAAGACTCCCACGCAATCCCCAACTGCAGCAGGACTGGCTTAACATGTTTTGAAACAATACACATTTATCCCAGGGCAGTGGTGGTGAACCTTTTTTGGGCTTGCTTGCCCAAAATGGAGGGGGGGAAGACAGTGGGTGGCGTGCTGCCGCCATGATAGTGGCGGCGATGGACCCGGACCCAGAAGACTGGAACTGGAAGTGGCAGTTTAAGGGTGAATCATGGTGATGGACCCGGAGGACCTGGAAGTGGTGGCAGAAGGGGGAATCCCAGCTGTAGCCACCTCATGAAGTTTGGCTGCGCAGGGGGGGCAGGGGGTGTAGTGACCTATGGTTCGCGTGCCAGCTGTGGCACGCGTGCCATAGGTTCGCCATCACTGTCCTAAGGGGAAAACACATTCACCAACAGGACAATTATGTCCAAACAGTTAACTGCACCTGTGCCCCTTCAGTGAGAAATAAACTGCTGTTCTTCTCCACTTTGCCCCCAGACCAAAATGGGGGACACATGATGCTCCATATTCCTGTCCATCAAGGAAGAGATGATGTTTCATAAAGGTATGGCCCCAGGAGGACACACACTTCTATATTCTCCTCATTCTTTCTTCCATGCAACCCATGAAACAAACAAAAAATCAACTGAGAGGTTCCAGTTGTAATTTATCCTAGCCAAGCATGAGCACTCTAGGACAGCAGTGGGCAAACCTTTTTGCTGCTGAGATGAACATGAGGCACTGGGTTATAGACACACGCCCTCCTCACAGTGACCAACACTCTTAACAACCCACCAATATCTTTTCAGTAGGCTTTTGGGGACACAACAGTACTTCAGAATTGGCATGGTAAGATAGTTCTCTTTCTGCACTGCCATCCCCAGAACAACCACAGAAATGCCAAGATGGAGATGGCAGTTTGGGACCTGGAGTGGTCCACACACAAGGCTGTTGAGGGCCATCTGCAGGCCACCGGATGCCATATGTGCTCCGAGGAATATCTAGTTGGAACCCTGAAAGCACAGATTTAACAAACAAACATTCATTTTTTGACAAACATCTCATTCGACACACCTCTTCCTCTTTGATGGCAGAATACTGCTGTGGGCAGGGTTTCTTCAGTATCTCCTCACACTGGCCATCCTCAAGTAAATCTTCATCTACTTCTTCAGAGGGAAGATCCTGTTTAAAAACAGCAATGAGAACAAAATGCACATCTGATGTGAATACTGCCAACTCACCACGGCAAGTTAAGTATTAATTTCAAGCTGCCCACTCATAGAGAAGCTTCTTGAAGCTGGGCAAAGATTGAGGTGTCCCTATGTTCTTACCACCAGTGTCTCAAGTGTGTGTCAGTAACAACTTGCAACCAATGTGTAGAAGCAGATGTTAGATTTTGCAGGGTGGGGAAATTATATTTTTGTGTATTTATTTTCAAGACTGTCTTAGAGGGGCTTGTAATTGGCCAGGATGGCTCCTTAAGCCTAGCAGAAAACCAATGACTGTTCATACATATATTTATTAACAAGCTATTTAGGCACTGAACCTTTTTGTCACATCAGATCATTAACAAACAGATCACCCTCCCCACCAAATACCCAGTAGAGGAGTGGGCTACTTCCAAAGGTGGTAGGTTCTCCCTCACGTTTTAAACAGAATGACTGTTTATGAATGACTTGCCTGTCAGGAATGAATGACTTGCCTGTCAGGAATCCTTTATCTATGGATTTTCTGCATGGGCAGTGGGTTGGACTCAGTGGGCCTTGGGGTCACTTCCAGTTCTCCTTTGCTATAAATTTTTATTTGCCAAAATAACAATTTTATTAACAGAACATGTTTTAGCCCAATTTTATCTAACCTTGCTAAATTTATTTATTTATTTATTTTTATTTAACTTATATGCCGCCCACACTACCCAAAGGTGTCTGAGCAACTTGCAACAATTTAAATTTGATAAAAAGATAAAACAATTAAAATACAATTTAAAATACAGTACTCTTAAAAAATTACCATCAGGACCCACAGTTGATATTATTTCAATTAAAAATCTTCTGGAACAGGCAGGTTTTGACGTGGCGCTGAAATGTCATCAATGTCGGGACCAGACAAATCTCCTTTGGGATGGCGTTCCATAGTCTGGGGGCAGCTGCTGAAAAGGACCTTTGCCTACAAGCCATCCCTCTCACCTCCTTGAGGGATGGCTCTTTCAAAAGGGCCCCCTGGGAAGATCCTAACTGCCGGGTAGGTTCATATGGAAGGAGGAACTCCTTTAGGTATCCAGGACCCAAGCTGTTTAGGGTTTTATATGTCAAAACAAGCACTTTGAATTGGGCCCGGGCAGTGACTGGTAGCCAATGTAACTTAAACAGAATCTGCCTGATGTGTTCCCTCGTCGCCCCACCACTCACCAGCCTCACAGATCAATTCTGGACCAGCTGCAGTCGCTGGACCATCTTCAAAGGTAGCCTCACATACAGCGCATTGCAGTGATCTATATGAGATTTTACCAATGCATGCATAACTGTCATGAGACTCCGCTTGTCTAGGTAGGGCCGTAGCTGGCATAATTTCTGCAGCTGAATAAAGGCGTCCCTGACTACCGAGTCCACCTGGGCTTCCAGAGTCAGACTCGGGCCCAGGAGCACCCCCAGGCTGCAGACCCCATCCCTTAGGGGGAGTGCAACCCCATTCAGGGCAGGGAAATGGCCCTCTAGCGTATCCGGTGAAGCACCCTCTAACAGCACTTCCGTGTTGTCTGGATTGAGTTTCAATTTATTAACCCTCATCCAGTCCATTATCAGGTCTAGACACGAGTTCAGCACAGAAACCACCTACCTGGATTGGTGGAAAATGAGAGTAGGTTGTCCAATTTTAGCTCTGCATGCATCAAAGGAAAAGAGAATGGGGGGAAATCTGTGGCTTTTGCAAAGATGTCAACAAGCATGCTTTAGAGCAGCAGTCCCTAACCTTTTTGGGACCGTGGGCCGGTGGGGGGAGGTTCCGGGGGGGCAGGGGCACCCAGTGCTCGTGGTGCGTGTGTGTCACCCCCGCATATGACATGTCCACTGGGTGAGTGGGCAGAGATCCGTCTTTGTGGCCCAGTTCCGGCAAGCCCACGGACCAGCAGCAGGCTGTGGACCAGGGGCGGGGACCCATGCTTTAGAGGACACCCACATAAATACCAGCATAAATGCTCAAAGACAAAACAGCAGCCAACCCAAACCAAGAAGCAATAATGAATCTATTGCCGGGTTTCAGAGTCCTCACCTCTTCCCCTATGATTGTCACCTTGGGAAATTTCCGTGCCAAGGAAGAACAGATGCTCATCTGGACAAGTCGGTCAGCTTTGGTCTGCAGGTCATTAGCTCCACACTGTCAGGGGGAAAAAAAACCCAATATGCTGACAATCACAAAGCAAAACCAGCTGTCAGAGGGACTGTCCTCTGTCTTCCTGTTGCCACTGGGAAGAGATGGATATACATGAAAACCCTAAATCTATTATTTTCCAATGTTTCATCTGTCTTTAAGTATTTCAGAATAGCATGTTGGCACGTATCATTTCATTTAATGATATCTGGTAAATGTTTCAGACCATTCTACTAAGGCACAATGTCCCAAACAAGAAATTGGTTACTCATTTCTGGCTCGAGAGCCAAAGGTTTTTTCATCCACTAAACATGGATGCTTTTTGATATCATTGTTTTAAAAAGAAATTATATAAAATCAGAATCAGAAATACAGAGCAACATTAAAGTTCTGGACTTTTCATACTTAATTATGTATGAAAAACAGTGTAGTATATCGGTTACAGTAATTAGGGAAACTCATCTTGAAATTCCACTTAACAATGAGGCTCCCTGGGTGATCTTGAGCCCGATGGAGGACTCTGGGTTTTTTCGGATCCCCGGTTGCCCAGCCAAATAGAAACTTTTCATTTCAAAGGAAGGCAAAACAGGAAATTGCATAACTCCTGGACTTCTTTGCTTGAAGAACTGGGCTATAACTCTAAAACCATGCAGCCTGCACTTTTCCTAACTTGCATATAAGAAAAATGCCAGGAAAAATCCATCTGACATGAACTTTTGGGACTCCAAGTTTTTTGCACTAACAAGACACTGCTGTAAGCCTGACTAAATGGGCCCTGATCCACGAAAGCTAGCACAATTTCTTTAGCAGTCTATAAAGGTGTCATTTACTCCCGCATTTGAGCCATTGAGTCAGTATCTTTGAGCAAAACCTATGTCATGACAGGATTGTAAGGATACAGTAAGTGTTCTACACCTAGAATGTGATAATAAAATGGCAAGCAGGAAGAGATGTGGGGAGTGTTTTCAAAACACTATACCCAAGCAACCAGCCAGTGGGTTGATCTCAATATAACAGGCACTATATTTTAAATAAATAACATAACATAACATAAATGTACTTACTAGTGAGTAGGCCCTACTGTCAAGGATTGTGCTTTGATCAGTACAGGTTACCATCCTATACCTGCTTACCTGGCAGTAATCCCCACTGAACCAAATAGGGCTTATTTCTGAGTAGACAGACATACATAGGGCCATGCTAAGAGTTACCTTCTCCACAATACCCAGATCGCCTCCGGCCATTACTTTCCTGACAATTGTTCCAGCTTTATTAGCAATGGAATATGCTGAGGCCACAAGACGCATAAGCACACATGGATTCGAAGACATGTTTCCTACACCGAGGAATAAAAGAGAAGAAATAAATTTTCTAAATGCCATTGTCATCTAAGCATAGGTTGTCTGGCATAATAATGCTCAACCGGGGGAGGGGGGAGGTAGAGAATGAAGGGGAAATCTCATTATATCAGGATAAGACAATATTTTTACAGAAGTCAACATCAAGAGAATATGGCTCTTCAAATACTAAAGCCACATCCGTTCTGCAACTTTTTTGTCCTGAACTCCCTAGAGAGGAGAAACAACTTAAATCACTATCTAAAAGTGCTAAAACAATTGGCTGATCATGCTAATAAATTAGTCAAAGCCAACCTATCCCAAACTAGTGCCAGATATGAGACTACACCTTCTACCATCCACATCAAGATTATATTTGCAAAGCATCCTGGAGCTGAGGCCTTGCCTGGCCCCCTCTCCAATGCCCTGCTGTCGCCGCCACATTCTTCTGCCTTCCTTCTTTCCCGCCTGTGAGGTTATTGGTAGGCCTCCAGACATAAGTGTGCACTACAGCAATGAGGGGATATCACCTTCCCCTCGTACCACCCATGGTGTTGGAATGAGCAAACCAGTACAATGAGGAGCTAAGATGCAAAAGGTGCAGGAAACCCACTGGCATCTGAGGCCAGCAAACACAGTCTTGCCAATATCTGAAGAATTGGAGCCTCATATACAGTATTGGCAGAAGTCCCATTGCTTAGAACAATAATTCACAACTACAAGCCCACTGAATCAATGGAACTGAAAGAGGAGCTGACCATCAAATCCCCACTGTTTCAATGGCCCTACTGTAGTACTATGCTAAGCAACAGGGTTTCAATCATTGTTCAAGCTTCAAGCTAATGTACAGTATAATGCCACTGTTTTCCACCAAAAACCTTAATCATCATAGCTAGGGGTTAATAATCAACAACATGAAAATCTGAGATCCCATACAAAAACATCATATCCACAACGCTTCGCGAGAGGGCAAGGCAAGAGCCTACAGTTTTTAAGATGAATGTCACACATCCTCCTTCCACCAAATATCTTTTTTTTTCATGTAGGTAGGTGTGTCAGTGTGCTTCAGCCAAAATCACAGTGTCTAGAGCAGGTATTGACCATGTGTGTGTCCCTTCAGATATTGCTGGACTGCAATTTCATCATCCCACATTGTAGGCTAGGCAAACTAGGGCTTGATGGGAACAACCATCTCTGGAGGGCCCCAAATCCCCCAAGCCTGCTCCTCATGCCCTATAGGTAAAGGTAAAGCTCCCCTTGACAATTTGTCCAGTCATGTCCGACTCTAGGTGACGGTGCTCATCTCCGTTTCCAAACCATAGAGCTACCATTTGTCCGCAGACAATCCTCCGTGGTCACGTGGCCCTATAAAGACTTACAAATGCACTCCAAATCATAAGCATTTATTCTGTTTACCTTGTTAAGTAAGGGCTGTTAAAGAGGGGGCAAAATGTCCAGCTCTTCTTTTCTCCTACTTCATCTATTCATCAAAAAGGAGCACAGTGCTATCTGGAATTCTCATTCAAACCTCACCAGTAAAAACCACTTTTCAGGAAACTTCTTAGTTGCAGGAATTCTTAGAAAGAAATCTACTTTGCTAGTAGAGCTTTGTTTCTGAGCTATTTTTCCTCTCTTTGCCTGCTAATTGATTGCAAATTGAAAGCTTCTGGCTGGAAACCTGTGCATACTGAAATGAATGTCATGGGAAGTGCCATAACACTAAACTCTACCCCCACAACAAATCAAAACAAAAATTAATCATGCTTTCAGATGGCAAAAAAACTTCACACATGAAGTCTCAGATTTTGCTTCTGAAGAGACAGAAATGTATGTTATATGGTCAGCTGGGAAAATCCCAATAATGTCAATAACAATTCAAGTATGTTATGGAGAAGAAGTGCTTCATCTAGCCTTCTATACACTCGTTCAGATGAACACAACATTTGCATGCACAAAACTGGACTGCAGAACAACGTTTTGGGAGATCAGCACTACTGCATATTCTCTACCTAGAGAACTGTGGAAAAAGTTGGCATGAGTCAGAATTGAATTGACAGCACATGATGACGATGATATACAGACATACAGATCTGTTGCTCAAAGTCTGCCTTTACCTAATGACATAGACGATGATATGCAGACATGCAGATCTGTCGCTCAAAGTCTGCCTTTACCTAATGACATAAAAAGAGTGAAGGCAGTGAGTTTTAGCTGCTCTAATAAGTCTACATGAAGGATAGCACTATCAAGCTATACTCTACCATAAGCTGCACATGGTAACTTCTGACACCTTTCCGTTTCTATGTGGGATTCTACATGCTTTCATAATAGTGAACACATGATCGGGCTCACAGAGGCTGGAAACTATCATATAAGTTTTAATCATTAACTAAAATGTTCACAGTATTGCTGTGGAAAAGAGAAAAGGCTGAATATTTCCTTCTGGTTGGTAGAGGAAAAGTCAAGAACTAGAACACTTAGAATGAGTTTCATCATTTTGTAAAGGAAGTCTTCAAGTGTTTCCTTTGTTTGCCTTTTCTGTTTTCTCAATAGTATCATTTACCTTTGCTCCAGTTATGTAACCAACTGCTTTTTTGTTTTAAACCAGAACCTCCTACCCCAATTCCTCTTACAAATTTTACAACCTATAAAGGTTTGTTAATCCTGTTCCACCAATAAATGCTTTGCTCTTGCTCTTTCTGTAAAAGAAAAAAGACATCCAAAAATGTCAATGCATGTTTCATTAGCTTGCATGTGGAAGATAAAAAGCAGAACTGTTGTGCAAAAAAACAGATTACCAATTAACTGCTGCATACAATCGTAACAGCATTTTAGGCATGTGAACATTTTTGGGCCATTCCACTTCTGCGGCTCAACCTGTTCCCATTCTGTATACATGGAGAAGAACCTAATCCTACCCCAGGACTAAGCCAGGCTGAATCCCTGGCAAGTGTGCAAAAGATTGTGGAGGAAATACAAGGAAATATTGGCCTTTAACTAAATCTGCCAAAACAGCTGCTCTGGACACATCATGAGGATCTGATCATACATTACATACATTGTTTGAAATCAGTTCAATGGGAAATTACCCTACTCTCCTTCCATAATTGTATGTGCGTATATTAGTGTAGCAGCTGATGCTTCTTTTCATTTTGGTCACTTTTTAACATGACAGTTACATTTCAGTTTCCTTTAACAAACTGAAAAATAGTATATCTGACTCTCCTGTTCTCTATTTCCTTCTCACAACCATCCTGTAAGGTAGGACAGGCTGAGTATGACTGGCCCAACGTCACCAAATGAGTTTTGTGGCTTATTAGGAACTAGATCTGAAAAGGCCCAATCCAACCACCTTAATATATATGTGTGGGGGGGGGGGGTGGGGTGGGGGTGTGTGTGGATGGTCGCCACTTTACAGTTCTGTAGAATTTCCATGCAACCCAAAAATATTTAAATAGGGATTTTTTTAGCATTGCAAAGACAAATACTAAGAATCTCCTAGTAGGCAGTGTAAACAGCAACATAACACAATGAGCATACGGATAAGGCACCATAGAAATCATCCACTTCCAAGGACCCATAAAAGCCTGTACTCTTTAAACACAAATTGCAGCACAGTCCTATCAATCTCCACTCAAAAGTAAGCCATGTGGGGTACAAAGGATTACAACCTTACCCACTCTTTCGGTTACACAATCGGGCTGACTGGAGAGTGGGAAAATATCGAATTTTTCTCATCAAATTCATCTTTCCATGATCAAGGCAAAACAGCACAGAACCTTTTGTTCTCCAGCTGGCAGTTAACTTTCCATGAACCACAACTGTCCAAGATGATGATGGACGTGGTAATCTAACAACCTCTGGATCCCCTTCCCAATGTACTCATTCTGAACTGTGATTATAATTGTGTCAGTCTCAAGGAGCAGTTATTCCTCCACATTCCTTCATCCAAATTATAATAATACGACCTTGGGCGAGCGACTAGAAACGACGCCATCTAGATAAAACGGCGAAATAAACAAAATTCATTTTAAATCCCGCAATTCTCAACCTCGAATACAAGGCTACTGCAACCAAATGCATCCCTTCCGCTCCCCCTTCTCGTTCATCTTATCTGCAAATACCAAAGGCAGGCGATCTGTGAGTCAAACGGGGGGAGCCTGAAGAATAAATTAAAGTAGCCCGGCTCAGCTTCCAGCTCCAAAAGCAGGTACACCTTTTGGACTACCGGCGGCCGAGCCTCCAGCGACTTCCTCCTCTCCTTACTTTCCCCGCCTTCCGACCGGCACCTGCTGGGTCCTAAGGCCGGCAGAATCGCTCAGCCTGAGTTTAAATACTGTATTCGCATTTCCTGGTTAGAGCCGAAAGCTATCTTTAGGGTTCTTCACTACATTTGATCAGGCATCCATGTAGTAAAATTACGTTGGCCGGAGACGAAGGAAGAAGTCCCAAGAAAATCTCGCCCGGACGGCCTGATCCAGAGATTAGTTCCCTAAGGATTGGTCGTCTAAAAATCAGTGGTTCTTAACCTTTGTTTCTCAGGTGTTTTTGAACTGCAACTCCCAGAAACACCAGCCAGCAGAGAACATCTGAGTAACAAAGGTTAAGAACCAGTGGTCTAAATTAAATTAATAAAAAGTATTGGAAAAGGATTGATAGTACTCGATTTTTTTTACCTGATATTTCTGGTGTGCACACCTAAAGTGACTAGGTATATAGTCACACTTACAAAATTAGGTCTCTCATTGTATGCAGCAAGCCACGCAACAACACAACTGTTTTTGCCCAACTTTTCAATTGTGTGCGACAAGTTCAAAAATTGTTTTGCTGGGGCCAAACGTTTTACTGCCACCGGGATACGTGTGGAAGCATCTTAAAAGAACTATAGATTTCGGCTGCAATCCAACACGCACGTGTGCCTAGATGTAAACCCTGTTAGCTTAGCCTCGTTGGGATTTATTTCTGAGTCTGGGTAAAAGGCAGATACAAGAAATCAAGAATGGATCTATGATTTCATAAGATTTTTATGTGGGATCCTCACCAAATCACCAGATAAATCATGACTCCTTGCCAGCACATGGCTTTCCAATGGCACAATCAACTATAGAGATCCTCTTGTGTGTGATTTTTAGTCAATTGTTATACAGTATACAGTATTACTCTTCAGACTTGATTTTTAACACTACGAGTGTTTTCCATTTTTGTGTTTTCCATTTCTGTTACTTTTTTGTATACAGTATTGATCTTTGCCTTGATATTATGTTAATGCTGTAAGATGCCTCCTTATTCGTTGTTTGTAATTTTAACTATTGTCTTCTAATGATCTTAACTGTATACTTGTCTCTTAATAATGTTAACCACTGTTGTATACATTGTTTTCAACTTTAAGTATTGTTTTTCATCGCTTGTAAGACATTTTTGGTCCTTTTTAAAGGAGAAAGGCAGGGTAAAAACATTTTAAATAAATAAAATGAACAAATACTCCTCTCCAAACCACTGGCAAATCATAGATCCCATCTGGGCCACAGATAATACTGGAAAAATTAAGGCTCCTTCAGGTGACTACTTTGCAGTGCCCCAGAAACTGGGATCTGAGCCACAAATCCTTATACATTAACATGATTTTATCACAAGATTATATTGGGTATTCACAAGATCACTCCCAAATCACTCTCCACTTCTGTCCAAGGTCCATGCTTGCTTGCTGCTGGTGGTGATGATGATGAAGCAGCAGCGTGCCAGGTTGCAGAGAACGAGCTGCTGTGCCAGGAAATTGCTGTGCTTCCCTGAATCTCCAGGCCAGGCAGGAGCAGTGGTGGAAAAGAAATAAATCTTGTTTATTGTTATGGGGTGGTCATAGTGTTTGTGTACCCAGCTCCAACCCTCTCCAAATGGCACCAGGCCTCGCTGGCTTCCTGTGTCTGTCCAACATGACACATAATATACTTGCTTAGGAGCTCAGACAGAGAACCCACAATGCCCATCTCACTCCCTCAAACATGCATGGAGAAATATGTTCCCAATTCCTGTGACATCACAAGGCCCCATACCATAACATCACAAAAATCCATCCCAGGCATTGGGCCTCAGATATAATGAGGGGAATTGCTGGAGAGGCTCCTGCCTCCTGTGACATCACAAGGCCCCACACCATGACTTCACAAAGACCCACCCCAGGCATTGTGCCCCAGATATAATTAAAGGGATGGGGGAAGATCCTCCCGTGACAGCCCCTGACAAACAGGACAGCACTCAAAACTATTCTTGAAAAATACTTTTATTGCTTTTTGAAAAGAGGTTAAATGGGTATCCCGGGTATCCCGGTCCTCAGCGGAGACAGCCAGGCTCATTCTGTTTGTAACAATTGGTCCTGCAATTGTTTGGTGTCCCCGTCGGTCTTTTGAACCTAATACACTGAGCTTCCTCTCCTACCCAGTTTTCTGTTCTCCTGTCAAACAATCGGGGCCAAGTCACTGTTGTGCATTCTCATTCTTCATTTGGATAGCTTGAGGTCCCCGTTTGTTGTTGGAGCTGGCTGGGTAGCTCAGTAGTTTAGGTGGGCAATCTGTAGCATGAGTACAGTGGTGCCTCGCAAGACGAATGCCTCGCGGGATGAAAAGCCGCAAGATGAATGTTTTTTGTGATCGCTATGGTGCCTCGCAAGACGGCTTCTTCTATGGCCATGCTTCGCAAGACTTTTTT